TGATTTGCCATTTGTATTAACTCAGTCTTTTTAAGGCTCTTAATCCCTTCAAAGTCTGGGTGAGCCACCAACGCTGCAACTTTCTCCTCCATCGTTACTAACACTTGGCACTTGATTCACAAAAATAATTAAAAACAATGGCACTGCACTACACTTCACTGTAAAATTGTCACCACACTGAAAATTCGCTTGGCCTCACTGCACAAACAAAATATATAGGATGACTTACCTCAAAATCGTGAAACGTTGTTACTTGACACACAGGAAAGCTTGCTTGGCACATGGAATAGTTCTTAAGAAACACACAGACACTTGACACATAGGAAGGCAAGGTTAGATTAGCATAATTAAGGTTAAGTGGGAACAATATTTCCCGGCACAGGCCCCCATAACTCTTTGTTACCTATCGTTCGTTACGGCTCGTGACCCTACAGCAGCCAAGCTTTAATTACGTCTAGGGATATCACTGCTGCTCTCTAAAGCGCGTCACCAGTATAACCCCTTGATAAGTAATGAGCACATAAACAAAACTCTTCCTTTAGGACTGAAGAATAGATGCAAAATATTATATAGATATATATTCAAGACAGTATAATATAAAAACACAGATGGTAAAGTTAACTTATACAACAAGCCACAAGTATTGTCATCTCACTTAATATAACATAAAAATATGGCACAACAAGAAATAAACAGACTTATCTCCCACATGTTACTCCGTCGAGTCCCGTATCAGCTACTGACTCTCGCTCTGGCGCTACCCACATTCTCACCTCCCGTCTGCCTCATCCCAGGATGAGGGATGGAAACTAAGGACTTTTTAATATTTAAAACTAATTGAACAACCACTTGTTCTCAAAACACACAGGAATGCAAATTACAGATAATAGTTACTTACAAAATATATAAGTACAATGCCACCTGTTTAATTGCAGGAATTAAACAATTTCCTAACTAAATAAAAGTGACATCTGGAACTCTCAAACTGAACAGGTCCAGCTTTCCCGTATCAATCAGGTAATAGACGTGTGCAAAGGCAACCGCGCTCTTGTCCACTGACGCTGCCACACCATACGACAATTTACTAAAACACAATGTGTGTACATATACAGGCAATGATATAATATAAAAAAAAGTTATTTTAAATTTATATACGTATTCTGCTAGGAGTACGTAACATTTTGTACCCTGTATTATGATAAAGGTCCTCATTTTTGCCGCACCTTAGTAACTGGAATTTATCACTGTTAAACATTATGTTATTGTCTGCTGCCCAGTCGAACACATTATTAATCTCTGCTTGTAGTTTTTCAAAGTCTGCAACAGAAGTAATTTTCATGGTGATTTTTGTGTCATCAACAAAGGATGATATGAAGCTGTGACTTGGATTCGAGTCTATATCTGATATAAGAATAAGGATAAGCAGTGGTGCAAGAACTGTACCCTGAGGTACAGAATTTTAACTGCATTTGGACTCGATTTTATATGGTTGACTGTTACTCTTCGTGTTCTGCTCGACAGAAAATTGAGTATCCAGAGACCTACCTTACCAGTTATTCCATTGACCTTATTTTGTGTGCTATCACTCCATGGTCACATATATCGAATGCCTTTGCAAAATCCGTGTGTACCACATCTTCATTCTCTTTTTCTTCTAATGCCTCAGTGATTTTGCCGTAATGGTAAAGTAGCTGTGAGAGGCATGATCTTCCTGCTCTGAATCCATATTGGCCTGGGCTGTGGAGGACATTGGTTTCCTTGGTTTCCGTGAATCTAGTGACCTGACTCCTGATCACTCTCTCAAATACTATTATTGTGTGGGACGTTAGTACAACTGGTCTATAATTCTTTGCCAATGCTTAGCTCCCTTCCTTGTGAAGACGGAGCTATGTCTGCTGATTTAAGCGCTTCTAGTATCTCGTCCGTGTCCAAATTCATCCTCCACACTATACTGAGTGCCTGTGCTACTGTCACCATTCATTTCTTTATAAAAATTGAATTCCATGAGTCTGGACCCGGGGCTGAATGCATGGGCATATTGTCAATTTCCTTTTCAAATCTGCCAAGCTCGTGTTGATATCAGTTATATTTACAGGTGTTTGTATATCACGCATAAAGAAGTTGTCCGGATCTTCCACTTTCATGCTGTTTTTTGGAGTGCTGAACATGTCCTCATACTGATTTTTTTTAGGATTTCACTGATTTCTTTGTCATCCTCCCTGTATGAACCTTCACTTGTACTAATAGGTCAAATACTGGCAGTGGTTTTTACTTCTGATTTCGCATATATGTAGAAATATTTTGGGTTTTTCTTTATTTCTTGAATTACTTTCTGTTCTAGTTTCCTTTCTTCAACCTGATACGAATGCTTCAGTCTCTGTTCGATTTCTTCAATTTCCATGTTTAAATTATTCCTTCTTTGTATCGAGGCTCGTGTCTGTTTAAACATTTCCGTTATTTTTTTTCTTATTTTGTAGTTCTCAAGCTAAACCAAATTTCTTTCATCCTAAACCTGCTTCCAACACTAGTAACACTGTGCTCTGCCTTCCCTTCATATCTGAACTCAAAACTTTTACTAATACCTTTCGTTCTCTCGACATAAAGCTCGCCTTCCGACCAAATATCACTCTTCGTTGCAATCTAGGTGACACTGCTCCTCCTGCTTCTAATGCTGCTGGTGTCTACTCTATTTCCTGTTCGTCTTGTCCTCACCAATAATTTGGTGAAACTGGCCCTACACTTAATGACAAACTTAAGGAACACAAAAAAGTGTTAAGTCTGCAGACACATACAATGCTCTCTTCTGTCATGTTAGGAATTCCAATCATACTATTGATTGGTCTTCCTCCAAAATAATCTTTCCTGCCTCCACACAGACGTTATCTTGTCGAATCGGCTCTAATACACAACCCCACCAACATGAACCTTAGTCCTGGCTTTGTTGCTGTTGACTCTTCCCTTTCACAGTATTTTCTCAAATGTTGTAAACTTTCTAACAAACATGACATAACATAAGCCTACCCTGTCTTTTATCCTTATTTTTCTTTCTCTTATTTTCTCTTACGATCCCTTTCTTGTTCTTTTTATATTATTACACCCTTTATTACACCTTACCTTCCGTACCTTTTGCCTTGCTCTTATCTTCATCTAAGATTTCTATCTCCTCATCTCTCTCTTGCCTATTTAATCCCCTAGCCTTCCTCGTCTCATCATAATCGACTTGATAATGGTCCAGGACGGACCGAAACGTCGACGTCTCTTCAATTTCTAGTGTGTGTTTGGTCAACATTTTTCAACCACTTTATTGTGACTCATCATCTGCAAATTCACCTTATTATACTTACTGAAACGCGGCTGAAAGAGGATACAACACAACACTTTAACTTACCAAACTACTCGGCAGTTCACAACTGGCTGCCAATCCAGAGTGGTGGTGGTACTGCTCTTTACTACCACCAAGAATTGACATGCTTAGAAGTAATTAGAACTAGAGAAACTTGTGGCGAGTATATCTTTGCCCGGCTCAGAGTTAAGGATGCCGAGGCTGACTTGACTGTGGGAACAGTTGACAGAATTCATAACACTGATGTTGCTAAATTCAACTCTAACTTTAGAAATCTAACACTAACGAACAAACTTGACAAAAACCAACTAATACTATCAGGCGATTTTAATACTGACCTCTGCGAGCCTGACAACCCTCATGTTGCTAGCTTAATCAACTATATTAATTCCTGCTTGCTCATACCCTTCATCATTAAACCCACTAGAATTAATGAAACTACTGCATCTACTCTTGACCACATCTGGACTAACATAACCTTTCCACTTACTTCATGAACAATCACTGATTATTCCTGAAAGACCAGAGACAATTACCTTACATTTCTCCTAACCAACATTAATAAACATCCATTAGATATAAAGAAGATAAGCTTTAGGCTGCACAATGAAGCTTCCATAAGCAACTTTATTGCTACTACTGCTAATATCAGCTGGGTGACTGAATTAGGTAACATAGTGAACATCAATCTTGCGGTGCAAACAATTCTTCACAAAACTCTGTGCCTGTATAATACCCACTGTCCAATGCTAACTAAATAAGCCTCAACTAAAAAGTTAAACAATCCATGGCTTACTAAGCGGATACTTTAATCTATCAATATGAAACATGATCAGAAGACATATAGGTTAGGGGTAATCTCCAAAGAAGTTTCAATGAGTTACTCATCAATGCTGCCCAATGCTGTTAGATATCAAGTCACTGTACATCCTCTCAATGTGGTCTATATATATTAAACTCTGAACTGTAATGCCAATCCTGACCTTAGACGCTTCTTAGAAGGCTGTACCGGAATCAATGGGCACCTCACTAGAAACAAATATCTTGATATTCCAACAACATATTGTTGGAATACTCCTGATATTCCAAGAGTGGCACTTAACCAAACCTGCAAATCAAAAGTCCAATAATGTGGAATGACCTTCCCAATCACGTCAAAGACTGTCCACCTCTAAACCAGTTTAAGAGAAAAACTAAGTAAGCCTAATCAATTCCATGTAACCTACCTTACCTACTAAAGGTCAACCTATGTCATGGTGTTTTCAAACACTATTGATTATTGACCAACCAGTATAACTGCTGATTTATAAACTTAAAGAAATTTGTAGCCTGTCTGTTTATTGAGTTAATTTTTTCTGCTGTTCTGTTACAATGTCTTCTGTTCCGTCCAACATGTAATTATTGTCATTCTTTTCTTTTTGTCTTTTTCTTCATATTTCAGTTCAAATCATGCTTTTGATCTGCATTAGTTTTAAGTCTTAGTTTTTATGTGTTTTTCCTACTTCTTGCCGAAACGCAATATGTATTAGTGGCTTTAGGCACAGTATATACTAACTCTATCTACATACCCAACATTCTGTTGGTAACTCATTTTGAGTGCATGTACTTTTACCAGAATAAACATTATCATTATCATAATATTATTGTTGTGGTTTAGGAAGCACCATGTGATGGAGACCACTGCAGCTGCACCTACGTGTTGGAGGCGGCGCTGGGGGAGGAGGTGGAGATGGTGCTGGTGGACGAAGGCACTACTGGTGCCGAGAACCACCCCTTCCACCTGCACGGGTACAGCTTCCACGTTGTGGCCATGGGGCACCTCGGCGGGTAAGTCAACACTTGTGCCAACCTTCTCAACTCCTTTTATTGTGGCCAGGACGCCTGTGTCCAGCCTTGTCCAGAGGGCCCCTCTACCCCCAGCTACTCGCCCCCCCCCCAGGACGCAACCCACACTTAACAGTCGCCTCATTCCCGAAACCTATTTAGCACTTCGTGAGAATAATCATTAGGTGAATGGAAACGTTGCCCAATCATTTCTAACTCTGAATTTATACAAATAATTAAGACAAAAAATAAAATCACATGGATAACTTAGCTGTATGGCGAGTCCTCCCAGACGACCACTGGTATGGATAACTTATCTGTATGGTGAGTCCTCCCAGACGACCACTGGTATGGATAACTTATCTGTATGGTGAGTCCTCCCAGACGACCACTGGTATGGATAACTTATCTGTATGGTGAGTCCTCCCAGACGACCACTGGTATGGATAACTTATCTGTATGGTGAGTCCTCCCAGGCGACCACTGGTATGGATAACTTATCTGTATGGTGAGTCCTCCCAGACGTCCACTGGTATGGATAACTTATCTGTATGGTGAGTCCTCCCAGGCGACCACTGGTATGGATAACTTATCTGTATGGTGAGTCCTCACAGACGTCCACTGGTATGGATAACTTATCTGTATGGTGAGTCCTCCCAGGCGACCACTGGTATGGATAACAGGGGTAAACATTGTACAATCTTGCATGCTCGGAGCTCACCACAATTCATAATTCATTGTGTCGGGGGACAGGAAGCCAGAGTATATTCATACACATTAGGCTTTCTTTCGAGGGCCCCCCCTCCCCCCTAAGGTCAAATTACTGACCCCGCCCAAGATGCCACCCCACAACAAGCTTACTAACTCCTGAGTACCTACTGGCTGTTAGATGAACAGCGCCATTAGGTGAAAGAAAATGTGCCCAACCATTTGTGTCCCGCCCGGGATTCGAAACCGGAATTATCGATTGTACGTCGAGAACGAAGCTGATTGTATTACCGGGACCCTCCATGGATAACTGTCTACAGATGAGAGCTGAGTCTCCTCTGTAAACATGAATCAGACATTGTAATGTCTGGCATGCCTTCATAAATAGCCATGTAAATGAATAATCAGTTTCACTCAGAATAATACAACTGTTTATTAATATTTGGTGCTCGTATTAATATTTGGTGCTCGTATTAATATTTGGTGCTCGTATTAATATTTGGTGCTCGTATTAATATTTGGTGCTCGTATTAATATTTGGTGCTCGTATTAATATTTGGTGCTCGTATTAATATTTGGTGCTCGTCTTCATAACCGGTTTGTAGTATTATATTTTAACTTGTGTAACTATGTTCTGGAAAAATGGGATTCTCACTTTGAGGGAAATAACAAGAGATTAATGTAGGAACTGTATGACAGGCGTGAGGGAGACACTTGTCTGGCTGTGGTGACGGGGCCAAGTTCCTCTAACACACATTGTAACCTTTAGTCAAGTTATACAGCACTCACAGTGCAAGTGTCGTATTGGTGAGATAGTAGAATGTGACATGTGTGTGTGTGCAGCCCCTTCTCTCGAGCTGGCACAACGGAAAGAAAATGGTGTACTAACAACTTCGAACCTAAACAATCGACCAACCATAGAAAACTTGAATGTTGGTTAGTAGCTGTGATCTATAGTACTCCGTTATTTGCCGGTTGAGGATTTTAACGTTAAAATGCAGTGTATTGCTCGACAGGACAAGTTGGTGTGTGAAGGTTATTTTGGCGATAACAAAGCACTTGATTAAGAGCTTCTGCACTAAACATGGATAGATCGCCAAGCAACCGGCCCTGTGTTATTGTCTGGGTCACCATGCTGCCCTGTGTTGTTCTCTGGGTCACCATGCTGCCCTGTGTTGTTGTCTGGGTCACCATGCTGCCCTGTGTTGTTGTCTGGGTCACCATGCTGCCCTGTGTTATTGTCTGGGTCACCATGCTGCCCTGTGTTATTGTCTGGGTCACCATGCTGCCCTGTGTTATTGTCTGGGTCACCATGCTGCCCTGTGTTGTTGTCTGGGTCACCATGCTGCCCTGTGTTATTGTCTGGGTCACCATGCTGCCCTGTGTTATTGTCTGGGTCACCATGCTGCCCTGTGTTATTGTCTGGGTCACCATGCTGCCCTGTGTTGTTGTCTGGGTCACCATGCTGCCCTGTGTTATTGTCTGGGTCACCATGCTGCCCTGTGTTGTTGTCTGGGTCACCATGCTGCCCTGTGATATTGTCTGGGTCACCATGCTGCCCTGTGTTGTTGTCTGGGTCACCATGCTGCCCTGTATTGTTGTCTGGGTCACCATGCTGCCCTGTGTTGTTCTCTGGGTCACCATGCTGCCCTGTGTTGTTGTCTAGGTCACCATGCTGCCCTGTGTTATTGTCTGGGTCACCATGCTGCCCTGTGTTGTTCTCTGGGTCACCATGCTGCCCTGTGTTGTTGTCTGGGTCACCATGCTGCCCTGTGTTGTTGTCTGGGTCACCATGCTGCCCTGTGTTATTGTCTGGGTCACCATGCTGCCCTGTGTTGTTGTCTGGGTCACCATGCTGCCCTGTGTTGTTCTCTGGGTCACCATGCTGCCCTGTGTTATTGTCTGGGTCACCATGCTTCCCTGTGTTATTGTCTGGGTCACCATGCTGCCCTGTGTTATTGTCTGGGTCACCATGCTGCCCTGTGTTGTTGTCTGGGTCACCATGCTGCCCTGTGTTATTGTCTGGGTCACCATGCTGCCCTGTGTTGTTGTCTGGGTCACCATGCTGCCCTGTGTTATTGTCTGGGTCACCATGCTGCCCTGTGTTGTTGTCTGGGTCACCATGCTGCCCTGTGTTATTGTCTGGGTCACCATGCTGCCCTGTGTTATTGTCTGGGTCACCATGCTGCCCTGTGTTGTTGTCTGGGTCACCATGCTGCCCTGTGTTATTGTCTGGGTCACCATGCTGCCCTGTGTTATTGTCTGGGTCACCATGCTGCCCTGTGTTATTGTCTGGGTCACCATGCTGCCCTGTGTTGTTGTCTGGGTCACCATGCTGCCCTGTGTTATTGTCTGGGTCACCATGCTGCCCTGTGTTATTGTCTGGGTCACCATGCTGCCCTGTGTTGTTGTCTGGGTCACCATGCTGCCCTGTGTTGTTGTCTGGGTCACCATGCTGTCCTGTGTTATTGTCTGGGTCACCATGCTGCCCTGTGTTATTGTCTGGGTCACCATGCTGCCCTGTGTTGTTGTCTGGGTCACCATGCTGCCCTGTGTTATTGTCTGGGTCACCATGCTGCCCTGTGTTATTGTCTGGGTCACCATGCTGCCCTGTGTTGTTGTCTGGGTCACCATGCTGCCCTGTGTTATTGTCTGGGTCACCATGCTGCCCTGTGTTATTGTCTGGGTCACCATGCTGCCCTGTGTTGTTGTCTGGGTCACCATGCTGCCCTGTGTTATTGTCTGGGTCACCATGCTGCCCTGTGTTATTGTCTGGGTCACCATGCTGCCCTGTGTTGTTGTCTGGGTCACCATGCTGCCCTGTGTTATTGTCTGGGTCACCATGCTGCCCTGTGTTATTGTCTGGGTCACCATGCTGCCCTGTGTTGTTGTCTGGGTCACCATGCTGCCCTGTGTTATTGTCTGGGTCACCATGCTGCCCTGTGTTATTGTCTGGGTCACCATGCAGCCCTGTGTTCTTGTCTGGGTCACCATGCTGCCCTGTGTTGTTGTCTGGGTCACCATGCTGCCCTGTGTTATTGTCTGGGTCACCATGCTGCCCTGTGTTGTTGTCTGGGTCACCATGCTGCCCTGTGTTATTGTCTGGGTCACCATGCTGCCCTGTGTTGTTGTCTGGGTCACCATGCTGCCCTGTGTTATTGTCTGGGTCACCATGCTGCCCTGTGTTATTGTCTGGGTCACCATGCTGCCCTGTGTTATTGTCTGGGTCACCATGCTGCCCTGTGTTGTTGTCTGGGTCACCATGCTGCCCTGTGTTGTTGTCTGGATCACCATGCTGCCCTGTGTTGTTCTCTGGGTCACCATGCTGCCCTGTGTTGTTGTCTGGGTCACCATGCTGCCCTGTGTTGTTGTCTGGGTCACCATGCTGCCCTGTGTTGTTGTCTGGGTCACCATGCTGCCCTGTGTTATTGTCTGGGTCACCATGCTGCCCTGTGTTGTTGTCTGGGTCACCATGCTGCCCTGTGTTGTTGTCTGGATCACCATGCTGCCCTGTGTTGTTCTCTGGGTCACCATGCTGCCCTGTGTTGTTGTCTGGGTCACCATGCTGCCCTGTGTTGTTGTCTGGGTCACCATGCTGCCCTGTGTTATTGTCTGGGTCACCATGCTGCCCTGTGTTATTGTCTGGGTCACCATGCTGCCCTGTACTCACCTAATTGTACTCACCTAATTGTGCTTGCGGGGGTTGAGCTTTGGCTCTTTGGTCCCGCCTCTCAACTGTCAATCAACTGGTGTACAGATTCCTGAGCCTACTGGGCTCTATCATACCTACATTTGAAACTGTGTATGGAGTCAGCCTCCACCACATCACTTCCTAGTGCATTCCATTTATTAACTACTCTGACACTGAAAAAATTCTTTCTAACGTCTCTGTGGCTCATCTGGGTACTAAGTTTCCACCTGTGTCCCCTTGTTCGTGTCCCACCCGTGCTGAAGAGTTTGTCTTTGTCCACCCTGTCAATTCCCCTGAGAATTTTGTAGGTGGTTATCATGTCTCCCCTTACTCTTCTGTTTTCCAGGGATGTGAGGTTCAGCTCCTTTAGCCTTTCCTCGTAGCTCAATCCTCTCAGTTCCGGGACGAGCCTGGTAGCATACCGCTGAATCTTCTCTAACTTTGTCTTGTGTTTAACTAGGTATGGACTCCAGGCTGGAGCTGCATACTCCAGGATTGGTCTTACATAAGTGGTATACAGGGTTCTGAAAGATTCCTTACACAAGTTTCTGAAGGCAGTTCTTATGTTGGCCAGTCTAGCATATGCCGCTGATGATATTCTTTT